CCCCCCCCCCCCCCCCCGCCCCCTGCCCCCCTTGATCCGGCACTGAAATTGACCCACTTCCTGACTGTAATGATGAAAAACTCTGAAAATGATGTAAGTTCCATGAAAATGCTACGAGAACCCATAACGCAAATATCAAAAGCTGTAACTTCCATTGTGATATTTCTTTGTTGTAAGCATTGTTTTTGTCATGCAAATATGCCAACCAGAGGAACAAAAGACCTCATATTCTAAGAGCTAACAAGCCGCTGGTTGGCACGATTTTTAAAATACCAATACAAAGTAGCTGACATAATGTGAAATATCACTATACAAGCAAAACGGTGACAAAAATTTCTCCCTTCATTTTATCTCAATCAGGGAAAACACTGGAGAAACCATCTTTTGCAGTCAATGAACTGCTCAATGAAAAAGTTTCATTATGGCAAGGAGATATAACTAGTCTTGAAATTGATGCTATAGTGAATGCAGGTAAGGCGTATTGGTATGTTCAACGACGATTTTGTCAGCACCAAAATTTCTTGGATGTGTGGATAACCAAATTTTCTTACTCACGGTGCTCCGCTGCATGCACACGCTTTGTGACCACGAGAGCTCCGCTATTAATTTGTATGCATAGAAGACATTTTTTGGAGGGTATAAAACAAATCACATAATGACTGGTTCGACAGGAAATTAGTTAATTTTGTTTGAATCTCAAAGTTGAAAATCTTAGTAATTAAGTCTTTTAGTGATTTAAATACTTCATTTTTTATTTTCTTTTTAATGTCTCAGCAAACAACTCTTTACTGGGAGGAGGCGGAGGTAGGAGATTTTTTTTGATAGTTTTTAATTATCTTTTATATTATAAATTACTGTAAAATTCTGAAAATAAGCCCCTCCATGTATAAGCCCCTCCAAATAGAAGCCCCCCCAAATCGTAAGTTACGCAAAAAACCCTCCATTAAATCGCCCCTCTGAATATAAGCCCCCGGGGGCTTGTACTTGGAATTTGCCCTCGAATACAAAGTAAAACAAAGCAAAAATGGTAAATTTCCTTCCCACTACAAGCTAGCCCAATCGATTTTGAAACGCAAATTTCCCTCCGTACATAAGCCCCTCCGATTATAAGCCCCTCCAAAAATAAGCCCCTCAAAAAGGGCCTTTGAAAAATATAAGCCCCGGGGGTTATTTTCGAAACTTACTTATGGTAACTTACAAGAAGTTAACTAATAAATATTTTTTAATTGTAAGGGGTTTCTTCTCTAGAAAATCTAGCCTGTATTAGTAGGCTCATGGTTGAAAGCTCATGAACACATACATGAAGCAAAGCTCAAATAGGAGAGTGGTTAATTTGAATGAGTGTTTTCTCTGAAGATTGATAATTACATAGTAGTAGAAATACCAGTAATTACCATGTCAGGAAAAAAAGATTTTACATTTGGTATCAAAAGGTTTCCATGGGCAACAAGGAGGGGCCTGGGCTTGAGCAAACATAAATTATTATGATGATGTCTTTTTTTATTTTATAATAGTTGATGGCTGTATCCATCGTGCAGCTGGATCAACACTACGCAAGGAGTGTGCAGCCCTTAATGGCTGCTCTACAGGAGATGCAAAGATCACATCAGGTTGTGTATTTAATCTGAAGGAGATAAAAACATGTACAGGCCACCTTGGAAATAACCAAAGTACATGTAATTGTTCATAAGAAGGATCAGGCATAGCGGAGCTTATCTCCTTCACTGCTGGTCTGGCTGGAGTCGCCCCCATGCATCGGGGTGACTCAATGGGACAGCTGCGAAGAAGACGGCCGAGCGTAACAATATTCCTGTCGTCTTTGTTGCGATAACACAGTGGAATTTAGAGTATGTGTACATGTAGGCTCCTTGTAATAAAACGTAGCTTTATATGTGGTCCCAAATAAAATTACTGGTAATAGAAAGTAAGCTTCACAGCCCAATGAAAACACAAATGAAAAAAACAGCCCCTTTAAATGTTTGTGATAGCTGCAGCTAATAAATATTGTTCTGTCAATTCTTGCAGGGCATAAGTTACCAGCCAAGTGTAAGTCACTTTTTTATGGTTCTTTTAACATTGTGAATCCGCCTTTATTATTGTGAATTTACTGTTATTATTCCAATAACTGTAATTGTCACCTATTTCAGATGTCATTCATACTGTTGGCCCATTTGGAAAACAGGAAAAACCACTGAGAAGCTGTTACAAGAGATGTTTGGGGTTGGTGAAAAAATATGGCCTTCGAACTGTGGTAAGAGATTACTTGTAGTGAAAGAAGTTGTTGATTTTCTTATGTGGCAAAATGTAATTTAGGCAAAGTTAATCTTGAAGCAATGCTGGTCAGCAGTTTTCCCAGCTATGCTGGGGGTGGCCCAATGCCTCTACCAGGGGCACCTTGTGACTTGTATACACAGTTGCTTGCTTGCAGCTCTTTGCAAAGACAGTAGCAGTAGCTTGTTGCTTGCTTGCCATTTTGTGCTGTGTTTTTTTTCCCATTCCTTCTCCCTCTTTAGGTTAGGACCAGTTAATTGTTGGTTGGTAAGTATTCCATTGACTTGTTCAGTGTGACGGTGCCTGGTGGGGGCCGCGCAAGGTTGCCATGGATACCTCCTCCTCATGCTAGAGCATTGCCTGGCTCCACCAACTTTGTAGGCACTTTTATGCTCACAATGAAACTTGTACTTGTAATACAAGCTAAAATTCCCTAATTTTTACATTGTTTGTTTTTACATAGGCATTCTGCTGCGTTTCAACCGGAATTTACGGTAAGGAATTTAAAAAGCTCGGTGAAAATGACCCACAAACTTTTGAAAACTACATGACAAAATGACACAAGCTATTGTTCTTCACAGGTTACCCAATCTATGATGCGTCCTGTGTCGCTTTGAACACTGTCCGCAAGTGGTTGGAGGACGAAGAAAAAGATGGAAAGAAAAATGCAGAACTTGTAAGGTTGTCTCTGTGTTTGGGTGTTTTCTTTTCCTGAACTTTGACGTTTTGATCAATATTTTAATAATCGTACTCAGATAAGTGAATACCTTAACGTTATGTGCTATCCCACGTTAACGATTCGCACCCAATGCAGGTGGTAGATTTAAAAACCCACTAGCTGTAAGACTGGTCCGTTGAAAATCCAGGTTGGACGCTTTAAGAATCTTTTGAGTTCGTCTTATTTTGTACCTGCCCATTGTAGGTGGATCGCATAATCTTCTGCGTTTTCCTTGGAGGAGATCTTGAAGTCTATCAGCGCCTTTTACCGAGATTTTTCCCTTCAGAGGATAAATATGATCAAGCAAGCGAACAAGAACAAGAGGAAGACACCGGCGAGACAGAAACTGACTCGAAAGAAGATGAGGGAGTTGAGAACAAACCAAGAGAAGATAGAAAGGACAAACATAACTCAAAAGGAAATGGAAAAGACGATGTAAAAAAAGAAGAAGAAGCAAAAGGGAAGGAAGTTGGAGTTGAAACAAAGGCTGAAGAGAGGTCCGAGAACGATAGAAAGGATAAACACAGCTTATCAGGAAACGAAAAAGAGGGAGTTAAAGAAGGAGAAGAGGCAAAAGAGAAGGAAGTTGAAGATGAAACAAGAGCTGAAGATAGCTCCGAGAACGATAGAAAGAATAAACACAGCTTATCAGGAAATGGAAAAGACGGAGTTAAAAAAAGAGAAGAGGCAAAAGAAGAGAAAACAGGAGGTGTGTCCTTGTGCTTTGGTTTTTACTTGTTTCATGTAGCGGAAGCCTATTTAAATGCAATGTAAACTTACTAGTTCAAACCTAAGGTTGCCACTTTTTTAAGGTTTATCCTTCACCGTTATGTTGTAAATTTAGTAAGTAGCCGGTCTTTTTGGAGGAAAGCATATTTTCATTATGTAACGTTTTTTTCTACATCCTATCCTTTTTGGCCTTTTCCCCTTTTATTTTAACGGTAAATGAAATCCCACTTATCGACCGTTGTGGAACGGAAGGTACCCTAAATTGTTTCATCCGGAAAAAGATTCGTGGAGTAAAACACCGGTGTTCTGTAGGTTACATGTCGGGTATTTTCCACAGCCAGTAACTGTCGCAAATGTGTTGCATTCTTTCTTAAAGATGTCGAGATGGAGGAGGGAGGAGTTCCTGACCCACCCAGACGTGAAGGGTTCCGAGATTCCCAAGAGATGTAGTGTCTCCAGCTTGGACTCTTCCAACACTTAGTTTTGCAGGGGAGACTTCCCGTCCTGTGTTGGTTCCTCTTTTTTGAAACACTATTTGTCTCAAATAGTCCTTTACTTTTTCTCCTTCAATTTTTTAGAGAAGAGGCCGAAGTGAAGGAAGTTGGAGGTGAACCAAGAGCTGAAGAGAGCTTCGAGAACGTTCGAAAGGATAAACACGGCTCATCAGAAAATGAAAAAGAGGAAGTCAAAAAAGAAGAAGAGGCAAAAGCAGAGGAGATAAGAGGTGTGTCCTTGTGCTCTGGTTTTTACCTGTTTCATGTAGCGGAAGCCTATTTAAATGCAATGCAAACTTAATAGTTCAAAGCTAAGGTTGCCACTTGTTTAAAGGTTTATACTTTACCATTGTGTTGTAAAATTTAGTAAGTAGTCTTTTTGGAGAGAACGGCATATTTTCATTATCGTAACGTTTTTTCTACATCCTTCCCTTTTTGGTCTTTTTCCCTTTTAATGGTAAATGATATCCCACTGTGAAACGGAAGGTATCCGAAATGATTTCACGTGAAAAAAGATTCGTGGAGTGTAACACCAGTATTCTGTAGGTTACATGTCCGGTATTTTCCACAGTCAGTAACTGTCGCAAATGTGTTGCATTCTTTCTTAAAGATGTCGAGATGGCGGATGTGGACGGAGTTCCCGACCCACCCAAACTTGAAGAGTTACTGGATTCCCGGCAAGAGGACATTACAGACGAGGAGGTTGTAAATAAAAACGTCCCCTCTGAAGGGCAGGACACAACCAAGTAGCAAAATGTTGGTGATACCAGTCGGGAATAAGAGACCTGGCCGTATAAACTGCAAAAATCAGTGAAGTTTTCAAAAATTATTGGGTGTCTAAGCGTGCGCGTGCTGACTGGTTTTACTATGAAAGCCTCTATGCGTCAAACTACTTTGGTCGCCTGCATGCGTAGCTGGCGGCTTTTTGGTGTTTTTCTTCTTTTGTGGTTCGTAAAGTAAGAGATTTAGCTGTACGTAATTTACCATAGAGTACAGACTTGTGTAAATGGCCGTTTCGAGCCCAAATTACCCTGGGTGCCAGAGACTTTTCTAGCGCGGTTTCCGCTCGTGGCTTCGGCCTACGGCCGAAGATGTGTCGGCCTTCGGCCAACACCGAAAATTTCCGCCGCACGCGAGAAAAACCTCTGGTACCCAGGGTAAGCTCATATAGCCCTTTGCGAAAATTCCTGGTTTACGTTTGCATACACTCACAAGATCGTAAGTTGAGAATTGCATGCCCATTTCCTTATGTAATATCACGCGATCTTTTACTCAAGCCAATCCTCTTGAGGGGAGAAGCGCGACATTTTTCTTGAAGAGAGACAAGTTTTGCGCTCACTTCGTCTTTAACACCTACAAAACCAACCTCCAGAGAGAAAAGGAACTTTTTTTCTCGAAACCACGCCGTCCATTTTGCGTGGGAGAGCGTTATATCCGAAGAAACATAACCCAAGGTTTTTTCGACAGGTTTTTTGACGGAACGTTTTTTTTTTCAAGCATCAACTTTCAATTAATGTGTTCAAAGGAAAGTTAATCGAATCAACCGAATGAAAACATTTTTTAGAGAGAGGTATGATCGACCAGATCGTCAAGATGATAGATGAATCCGCCAAAGTATATTTCGTTTATTTATTTCAGTTGAAGAGCGGACGAATGTAGTTATCTTAAATTATCTATTAATATTAGTAACAGTACAAAATGTGTTGAGTTTTTTAGCGTTTTATAAGAGAAAGGAAAGAATATTTGTAACCTTTGAGTTTTTTATGTTCGATAAAAGAAATACACAGTATGAAACACCCCTGTCGACTTTTGTGATTATTCAGTGGCGGATCCAGGGGGGGGGGAGGTCCGGGGGGTCCGGATCCCCACCCCACCCCCTATCAGACCTGACGCTTGTTTGAGACTGAAATTCTTACATCGACAGGATCGTATATCACTTTCTAACTGGCTGATTGTATTTCGTTTTGGTTACCCTCCTATGATCTGTTAGCCCCTGCTCACAAAGCAGTATTACCCGCGCCAACGGGAACCGGCGTTCACAGATTGAGAAACACGTGGTCGTCTCTGCTTTCTCAGCTGGTCGACAATTATGCATCCTTTACGAGCACGGTAAGGGGACAAGGAATTATAACGTGCAACCGCGACTGGTGGGAAGGGGTGTGGGGGAAAAGTAATTTGCCACAAAAGGTTCAACAGTCCTTTCTGAACCAAAGTTTGGATCCCCCTCCCCCCAATAAAAAATTCCTGGATCCGCCCCTGTTATTTATGTACTTGGTATGCCGTTTCTCGTGGGTGCATCGGTCGTCCCGCAAAGTTCACTCAAGGCTGAGCGTAAAAGCTGAGAACTTAAGGATTTCTTCAAATGCATGGGAGCTACCACGGCTTTGGGGTTCTCTCTTACTCAAGCAAGGTTGAAAAGCATGACCTTTATGTTACTGACGTACGTCCGGTAGGTCCGTCCGCCCGTAAGGGGCATTTTGTATTGTTCTCGTAGTGCAACCTTCGGAGCCAGGTTCGTTTCCTGCCGTCGCCCATATTTTCCTCCGAAGAATTTTTAATGATGATTGGCGTTGTTTTGCAACCAAAGGTACCGGGTTCGGACCTGGTTTCGCACTTCTTTTCGTTCATGGTCATTGTTACTGGAGTTAACACTATTCATTGCCAGTAAGCACATACCCTCTCAGAGGACTATTTTGTACTTGTGCAGTACTTCGAAGCAACGCACGGCTAAATGATCCGAAATCCTGTTGAAAAGTAGCTTAAACATTTCGTTTTAAACAAAACGTGGTTCAGTTGTATTCGTTTCATAAAGAGATGAGGAAGTAGTGAAGTAGGAACCGATAAACCCTACTCTGAATGACGTTACGAGTGCTACTAACCTAGAGAAATGGTGCGTGAAGACAGTTCAATCCCTTTGGACAGACAGGCACAATTAATTTCTCCGGAGAAGGACTTTATTTTTCTAATTCCAGTTGAGAAGATGACGTTGCATTTCGTTACTGGTCGTTCTCCGAGCCTTAAAAGCCCATCTGATCTATTTTAGTTCTTCTCCAAAGATAGCGAAAGACAAAGGCTTGAACGAATGACGATTGATCACGTTGGTAACAACTTAAAATTAATTTAACCGAAGGCATCTGATCGCAATATAGTATTGCACAGTACAGTAATTAAGAAGAATCCTGAAACAAAATAAACAAAAAACAAAAAAGAACAGAAAAGAATAGCACGTCTAGCAGAGCGAGGTTTTGATCCTCGGACCTCTGGGTTATGGGCCCAGCACGCTTCCACTGCGCCACTCTGCTCTCGTTGCCTTTCCTGCTGATCAGCGGCCAGTATTTGATTCTGTTACAAGATACATTAATCGACCTTAATCGCCAAACATTTCGGAGCTTTATATCTAAATCCTCAGTTTTCAGAATTTTTTGCCTCAATAGGCCTTAAGTAGCTTTTGGACTTCTGAAATTTCGGATAGCGAAACTTTGCTTCCCGGACAATTGGCAAAAATTTTGGCCCGAAATTTGTAATTGTATGGCGATTAATGTTTCCAACTATGAAAAAAAAAATAATAATAAAATGAGAAATACCCTTGCTACTTTTTAAACATATCAGAAAGTGAAATGGCTAGAGCTTTCGTACCAATTATTATATCAATTTCAGAAGAGGCATTGTAGTGCGTCCCTTTAAAATTGAAAACTATAACTCCTGACTCATGACTTTATCGTCAGCAGAGTGGCGCAGTGGTAGCGTGCTGGGCCCATAACCCAGAGGTCCGAGGATCAAAACCTCGCTCTGCTATGAGATTTTTATTTTTTGTTACAATCTCGAAAAATTTGATAATGACTACGACCTCGACCAACAAAATAAAGTTAAGAATAAAAATTGATTTATAGATTTTGCAAGGGCTAAAAGCGAAGCTGTCGATAAAATCGTGTAATGCTAAGCGGCAAAGGCAACGAGAACGATGAAAAAACAACAATAGGTGAGCAAAAAAGCAACTTTGCACGTGCAGCACACTATTTTTGGTACATTAGTATCAACGTGTAATTGACGTGTTCAGAAGAAAGTTATTTCCATAAGTGAGCATGCGAATCATCTTTATAGAAGAAGGTATGAATACCAAGCCGCAAAATATGTATAGCTTTCTCGCCAATTATAATATCAATTACAGAGAAGGCATTGTGGTGCGTCCCGTTAAAATTGAAAAATATGACGGAAAACTTTTACGTCAGCAGAGTGGCGCAGTGGAAGCGTGCTGGGCCCATAACCCAGAGGTCCGAGGATCAAAACCTCGCTCTGCTAGGAAAATTTTACTTTTTGTTATATATCTTGAAAAAAATGATAATGACTGTAACGTCAACAAAAAAAAAGTTTAGAATAAAAAATAACATACAAATAATCGATAATAATCTAATTAACGAATGGAATTGAACTAATAAGAAGTCAAACAGAAGCAAATATGAAAGTCGCAATAGCACTTTTCGTTTTAAATAAAAACTGAAACAAAACTTATTTTCGGAAATACAATGTACTATGCATCAAGGATGGGTATATTCATTACACATTTATTTCATTCATTTCCTTTAACAAAGTTAACTTACTTAAGCATTACTCTATGAGTCTCACGAAACATTCGACAAAATTTTGTACAGCACACTTTAATAGAAATATTTCGTCATCATAAATATAATTCAAGAGTTTGAATCCATCATAATTATTACTGAACGTTCGTATCATATCCATATGGGTTTTTGCGAGATATTTAATTTGTTAAAATGAGAAATACGTTCCGGAAAGTGTTGTGGAACTACCCATGGACGTGACATTCATACTGGTTAGGGTTTCTCCTGAAATAAAAGAGTCTAAAAACAATCTTCCTTTAGATCCTTGGTCAACCTTCTTTCAAAATTTTGTTCAAATGAATGCAGGAAGGATGTCGAAAGCGTCAAAAACGTCCGTTGAACAAACCATAATAACGCTTGGTTATGTGTTACGTCTGTATGACAACATAATTGCAAATGGTTGAAAGGAAAATATAAATTTCTTGCTAATTACTGCGTATAACTTTCTTGGTGGAATTGGATGCCTGTCATATTGCCTTTTCCAGTAAGGGATCATGTTTTCGAGCCATTTTTCAGGATTATGATTTAGGGAAAAGTCTTTATGTCCAAACCAGTTTCACTGAGAAATAAAACAACAACAAATGAACATATCCTGACAAAAAAAGGGACTTTGAGATCCAACAACGCGACGGCAACGAGAAGGTAGAAAAAAACAAGAGGCTTAATAAGTAAAACAACAACTTTGCACGTGCATCACACATTATTTTTTGATTTCTTTGCTGTTTTTGCACGACTACGGCGTGAAAATTCCTACTTGCCCATTTTACAGATACAGTTGGAAACGAGGCTGGAGTTGACCTTGTTCTGATACAATACCTTCTCCTTTATTATTATGTAAATCATGTTGTTGTTATGATAACTAGTATTTATTAAGCAAAATTTCCATTAGAAAAGGAAGGAGGTTTGTATCAAAACAAGGTCGACCTTAGCCTCACGTTCACTCAAAGGCTAGGACACCAAGCCCACAACTGTAAAACGGCCCATTCGCGTTTATGGGGCAAGGCAAACAAACAACGTCGAAGTTTTATTTCTCTTTCTGAACTTGGATATGGTCCTTTGCAATTCAACATCAGGAGGGTTCCCCTCAATGACAAGTAAGTTGGTAGGAATAATCGCTTTAAGGACTGAAAG